CCATATCTTGGCTATTGTAAATAAAGCTGCAGTGAACATGGGGGCACATATATCTTTTCAAATTAGTGATTTCATTTTCTTGGGAAAACTGGAATTGCTGGATCATACGGTAGTTCTATTTTTTTTGGGGGGGTGCTCTGGGTCTTCATTGCTGCGTGCAGGCTTTCTCTAGTTGTGGTGAGCGGGGGCTACTCTTTGCTGCAGTCCGTGGGCTTCTCATTGCGGTGGCTTCTTTTGTTGCAGAGCATGGGCTCTAGGTGCAGAGGCTTCAGTAGTTGCAGCAGGTGGGCTTCAGTAGTTGTGGCATGTGGCTCAGTAGTTGCAGCGCACATGCTCTAGGGCACACAGGCTTCAGTAGCTGTGGCGCACAGGCTTAGTTGCTCTGTGGCATGTGGGATCTTCCTGGACCAGGGATCGAACTCATGTCCCCTGCATTGGCAGGCAGATTCTTAACCACTTCACCACCAGGGAAGTCCTGGTAGTTCTATTTTTAATATTTTGAGGAATCTCCATAGTGGCTGCACCAGTTTACATTCCCACCAACAGTGCACAAGTGTTCTCTTTTCTCCATATCCTTTCTACCACTTGTTATTTCTTGTCTTTTTGATAATAGCCATTATAACAGTTGTGGTTTTGATTTGCATTTCCCTGATAATTAGTGATGTTGTACATCGTTTCATGTGCCTGTTGGCCATCTGTCTGTTTTCTTTGGAAGAATGTCTATTTATTATAGATTCTCCAAGTCAAGGACTCCCCCCAACCCCCCCAGAAAACTGGCTTACCAGTTTTCATTCTTCCCTTCCCTCCAAAATATCACCAAATTCTGCAAAGAGGAAATAATGATTCCTCTATGAGCATTAAATTGTTTTGATATTGAACCAAAGCTAGGTAATCAATAAATATTCATTTTATAGGGTGGCTACTAGGCATGATCCCATTTAATTCCTTTACAGGTAGATGTTATTATCCTCAATGAGAATTACATTTTTGAAAATACCTGAGAACAAACTACTGATGCTCAAAACATTACGTGAATTTCGCAGCTATTATATTGAGTGGAAGAAGCCAGACACAAAATAATACATACTGTATTATTTCATCTATATGAAATTTAAGAACTGATACAAGTTCAAGAACTGATGGAAGATTATAGAAGCCAGAAGAATGCTTATGTCCAGTGGGGAGGAGAGTGGTGACTGAGAAGGGGTGTGAAGGAAACATTTGAGTTGCTGGAGTGTTTCTCTATTGTGATCCAGATAGGGGTTACACAGATGCATAAAGACGCAAAGATTCATCGCAATATACACTTAAGATGATTGCACTTTATCATAAAAGTAATTTTTACTTCAATAAAAAATTTAGTAAAAAGTATGTTATACCAAAAAGTAAAAGAAGAATCTGAGAAAGTATGTTGTATAAACTGGGAAGCACTTCAAAGTCTCTTTTACCTTAAAAATTTGAGATGCCTTTGACAACCTCCCTTCTCCTAGTTTCTCCCTCTCTGTGGCCACTCAGTCTCTCTAAGGTTCGGTTGGCTTTTCTCTGCCTGTCTTATAAGCATTGTGTCCCCAGAGTTCTGTCCTTATAACTCTCCTCACTTTAGGTACTATTGACAATCTCTGTAGCTCCAACTCCTGACACAATTTCCTAACCTCCAGGTCACGCTCTTTTCTCCTCTGTACCCATACTCATTCATTGAACTACTACATACTGGGTTGTCTTTACTGGGTGTCTTATGCCAAGTACTGTTCTTGGCACTAGGCCATGTCAGTCAACAAAACAGAGATCTTTGCCTTCATGGAGCTTATGTGCCCAGATCGCTCTCCCTGGGCCTACCAAGACTCAGATGTCCCAAATGATCTCATTATCTTCACCCCTTGATTCTCCCTAACCTCAAACTTGTTTTTCCCATGCATCTTCCATCTCTGTGATTGCACTGTCATCCTCTCAGAAACTCGGAATCATCCCTGACCCCGCTTCAACAAATCACCATCGGCTGACTATTACATGTCCTGAATATCTCTCAGAACCCTCCACTTGTCTGTATTTGCACTGCCCTGCCCCATTCTCATTCTTTCCCATTTGACTTACTAACTGGTCTCTCTGCCTCCAGTCTTCTTCCTGCCTATCACTCTCCATACAGCCGCTAGAATGATTATAAAATGCAAATCAGGACAAGTTGCTTTCTGCCTAAACCTGTCCAGTAAAAGTCTAAATTCCTTACCTTGTTCTCATATTCTCAGCTGTCAGGATAGAAGCATAGCTGCTGAAACCTGGGTTCACATCCCTGCTTACCAGCATAAACTTGGGCAAAATTGTTTTATCCTTCCCATGCCTTACTTCCCCATCTATGAAATGGGAATGATAATAGTACTGAGGTCGAGTTGTTATGGGGATTAAATTTATTATTGCACACAAGGCACTAAGAACAGTGCCTGGTCCTCAGTATATACTCAAGAAGGCTGGTTTTCTTTTAGACGGTGCTGTAATGTTTAAATAAGTTAAAACATCTAAGAGGCTTTGCACAGCACCCAGCCTGTCTTAAATACTCTGTAATGTCAATGTTGTTGCCTCTCTAGCCTTACTTCTTGCCCTTCCTCCATACAAACCTGACTCAGCCCTATGGGGCTGGCTATGGTTCTCTTTCTTACACGTCCCTTGGTTCCTCCCTTTCCTGTCTTTTTCCTGGATGTCTCCCACCAATCCTTCAAGTCTCTGCTCAGGCACCAGCCCCTGGCTGCCTCAGCCCAAGCTGGATTGGTGGCTCCTCCTCTGTCTCTCCCTCTTAGAACCTGTGCTTGCCTCTATTACAGAACATAGTAATTGTTTATTTAAAACATACTAAGAAGCATCCAACAACAGATAAATGGATAAGCAAAATGTGGTATATACATACAATGGGATGTTATTCCACCTTAAGAAGGAATGAAGTACATCATGGATGAACCTCGAAAACATTGTGCTAGGTAAAATAAGCCAGGATTTAGAGCCAAGATTAGAACAGTTAGGCTAAATTGCTCTAAATCCTGGCTTCACCAGGCTGTGTGACCTGGTGTAAGGTATACAGCTTCTCTGTGTTTTCGTTTCTTCATCTGTAAAAATAGGTAAATTTCTTTTATAAAGTTGTTTGAAGTAATGTGTGTAGAATACTTGACATATAACCTGGATAATGGTAAGCACTCAATAAGTGTTTTCCCTTATTATTGTTCAGTTGTGATCTCTTTGAGCACAAGGCTCTATGATCTCTGTCACAGTTCCTTGATATGGTTTCAGATTCCACATTGCAACCAACCTTGAAGAACATATTGCAACAGATTAAATGTAGAAGCAGATATAATCATCCAGTTGTGTTCCATTGATCTAGATAGTAAAAAGATTTTTAAAAAAATGCTACTCTTCTTGCTAGATTTTTTTTGTTTGAGTAAATATAGTTATTTTCTGTAAAACCTTTTCTTTATGTTAATGTAGAAAGGAATGACTAATGTTATTTTAAAATAAATTAGTAAGTATTTAAATTTTTCTCGATTTTAATTTCTAATATGGTAAATGTTGATAGGTAGAACCTATATAAACAATGTTCCTTGGATCCTCAGTAATTCTTAAGAGTGTAAAGGAGTCCAGAGACCAAAAAGATTGAAAACCACTGTCCTGCCTTGCAGTTGGATCCCTGCCACACCACCCAGGACAATTGGCCTCCAGTCTGTGCTTTAGCACTTCACAGGATGGGGAGGTCATCACCTCCTGGAGCAGCTGGTTTTATCTTTGGGCTACTCTGCCTCTTAGAAGGTTCTTGCAATGAGTCAAAAATCTTTGTTTTGGAGGCTCCCACTGACAGTTCTTAGACCCACCCCTTATTTTCACACACTGCAATTTGGAACCCTCTTTCAGGTCTGGAAGACAGTCATCAATTCCCCTTTGTGGTGGTCCCAGAGGGAATCACCCTGTCCTTCGTGTGACTAAAGTGCATATGTATTTTTTTGAGTCAGCCAGTGATTTGTAGGAAGCATTGCCAAGCTAGATAGCTCACAACTGCTTTTCCAGGAACCAGAAGATTATCTCCAGTCCCACACTGAATTTGAGAAACTCATTTTGTTGTTGTTTTTACCAATAAATTAAAAATTTCCATTATAAATCACATATGTTTCTTAAGGAAAATAAAGTAGGGAAAAAGAGACTTAAGAATGGAAATGGGGTCATGGTTAGTGCTGACTTTCTTGTCTTGGCATCTAGCTCCCTTTCAGGCTTGCCCTGAATGCCATTTTTTTCAGCAATTCCTAAAGCAGTTGTATGTACTATGCCTCCAGAGGTCTGCCAGGTTGACAGGCTGCCTGCTGCCTGGTCAGTCCCCAGCCCTTTAAGGACAGATGAGGAGGGGCACTCAGAGGAAACAGGAAGCTCTCAAGGAATGTGATTCTTGTACTACCTGAAGGTATTTTAGGCCAGATCTCTCCAGGCAAGGTGGGGTCAGAGGGGATAGACACTTTACTACAACAGAGATTAGTCAATTTTTTCTGCATTTTTGGGAGGTAAAAAATGAAGTTCTTATGGAAATTCTACTTCTGGGAATCTATTCTAAGGAAATGATGAGAGATTTAAATGGTGTTATGTGCCTATCATTATTCATAAAACTTGGAAACAAGCTAAATTTTCTACAATAAACGTTCAGTTTAAAAACTGTCTATAAGGGAATAGGGGGTATATGGGAAATCTCTGTACTTTTCCCTCAATTTTGCTGTGAACCTAAAACTGCTCTAAAAAAATGAAAAGCTTAAAAAAGAAACCTGTCTATGTGCTTGTATATTCTGTGCTGGTTAATAATAAATTACATTTACAAAATCTTTTTAATGATGTGGGAAAATTCTCAACATAGAGTGTTAGTTGCTTAATATATGACTAGTATACAGTTTTTATATAAATATTTGTTGACTGAAAATTGAAAAAAGCAGATAAGAAACTATACATACAGTACAGTCTTGATTGTATAAATATTTTTGTTACAGAGTGAAAAAAATGGATGACACCAATGTATCTCACATGAAGGAAACTGTCTTTATGAAAACTCTTTGAAATGCCCTGCAGACACAGATGTCAGCAGATGCCCAGCTCAGACAAGGGGAAGCTGTTTTGCATGAAACAAAGAGAGGAACATGGTTTATTGCTTGTGAAAAGGAGGGGGAAGAAAGAAGGTATTGGTCAACACTCTTGCAATTGCAAATGACAGAAATTTAACTCAATGTGGCTTAAGGGAAAACCCAGATATCTAGTTAGACATGGTTGGATTCAGGAAGTCAAACTTTGTCATCCATATCTGCGTTTTCTCTCCATCTCTTGATTTTGTTTTCCTTTGTCTTGATTCACTCTCAAGCAGACTCTTCACTTGTGCTGGCAAAGGTGGGCACTAGCAATGCTAGGCTGACCTTTCTACCAGCTCAGTGACCCCAGGGGTAAGAGTCCTTCACTCACCAAGAGTTCTCTCAAGCCTATCCCTGAATAGCAGTCTGGCCGGGGAGATGGAATGTACGGATTATCTGGGTTTCGTCACTTGTTTGGATCACTGGAATAGGCTGGGGTCAGCCCTGCTCAAGTCATTTAGAAGTTCCAAAAATAATTTGCAGAGTTCCTGGCATGGAGCTTCTAGAACCCTTGGAATTTCCTGAGTGACTAAAGTGTCTTTATTATTCATGAGTCCCTTGGATCACTCCTGAGTTTATGCTAATGAGGGCACTCATGGTGGGACCCTGCATAGCTTCAAGATTGAGACTGGTCACCAGAAAGACCAACCACTGATTAGAAGGTTGGGACTTTGAGCCAGCCCAACCTCCAGGAAGGGAAGAAGGATTGAGTTCAAGTGCATGGTCCATGATTTAATCAATGAAACTCCAATAAACCTTTGGACAGCAAAGCTCAGTGGAGGTTCCTTGTTGGTGAACTCATGTTGGGAAGGTGAGGTGCCCTCGTCCCATGGGGAGAGGGCACAGAAGCTCTGTGTTCAGGACCTTCCAGACCTTGCCCTATGTGTCTCTTCATTTGGCTGGTCTGATTTGTATCCCTTAAAACTCTAATTGTAAGTATAGTGCTATCCTCAGTTTTGTGTCATTCTGCTGAATTATAGAACCTGAGCGGGGTTGGAGGAACCCTCTGGATTTGTAGCCAGTTGGTTGGGAGTATGGGTGGCCTGGGCCCCTACTTGCTCCTGGTGTCTGGAGTGGGGGCAGTCTTGTTGGAGACTGTGCCCTTACAGCTGTGGAGTCTGACAATAACTCTGGTTGCTTAGTGTCAGAATTGAAATTGCAGCACAACAGATGACGTCAGAATAGTTGGGGTTGAAACAGAATAGGATGGAGTCTGGATCCATGCACTGCAGAACAGTGGAAGAGGTGTGGAGCCAGGAGCCTAGAGGCCAGGTGGTTATGATAACAGAAGATCACTGGGAAGAAACTGAAATCTTGAAGAGGGCTTTGGATTTTCACAGGATAGGGAGTTGGAGAGAAGAGGAGTTTAAGCCAATTTCATCTCAACCTTTCAGCAGAGGAGGGTCCCCAACTGAACTGAGTTACATACATTCATCTTTGCCATAAGAATCTGTGTTCACAGGTTTTCACTTTTATGAAGTGATTACAACTAGTTTTTCCAAGTGAACAAAGTTCTTTCACTCACTTATGGTCAGACTCACTTATCTTACACATGTGCATTCAAAGACCTTCCAGTCACTCTCAGAGCCAGGTGTAGAAGCAGAGAATGGAAGTGCTGGCTGATGCAGGTAGTGGATTTGCAAGGCGAGTGCAAGAAAAAGTCAAGAGGGCAAGATACATCAACGAGGATGTGTCTGTTCTGTCTGTAAAAGCCCCAAATGCCAGAAAGTTCAGTGATGTGTGTGTGTGTGTGTGTGTGGTGGCAGCACATATCAACTCAATGTTTTAGGGAGCAGTATGAACTCAGGACCATATCAGCTCACATAAATTAACATTCCCACTTCTGGCTGGTTTGATGAATACTCCTGGTTCATAAGTCAATGTGTGAGTTTCCCCATAGAGCAGGCCCTCCACAAAAACATGTAAAATACCTTATTGTATTTTCCTCACAAATAATCACTGAGAATGGTTGAGTCTTATTCCCTTTGTCTTTTGTTTTTAAACTAGGGTTAATAATAAAATAAACTTTAGGTTTTTCTTGTTTTTTTTAATTTATTTTATTTTTGGCTGCGTTGGACCTTCCTTGCTGCACACAGGCTTTCTCTAGTTGTGGTGAGTGGGACTACTCTTCACTGTGGTGTGTGGGCTTCTCATTGCGGTGGCTTCTCTTGTGGAGCACGGGCTCTAGGTGCGTGGGCTTCAGTAGTTGTGGCTCGCGGGTTCTAGAGCACAGTAGCTGTGCACAGGCTTAGTTGCTCCGCGGCATGTGGGATCTTCCCAGACCAGGGCTCGAACCCGTGTCCCCTGCATTGGCAGGCAGATTCTTAACCACTGTACCACCAGGGAAGCCCTAGTTTAGTTTTAATAAGCCATTGTCACAATCAGGATCATAAACATATCCGTCACCCCCAGAGTTTTTGGTGCCCTTTGTGATCTCCCTCCCACTCTTTCTCCCAAACCCAGACAACAACTGATCTCCTTTCTGTCACTATAGATTTGTTCACATTTTCTAGAATATTTTAGCAATGGAATCATATGCTATATATTCTTTTTTTATGTGGCTTCTTTCACTCAGCATAATTTGTTGAGATTCATAACTTGTTCATTCTTTTTTATTGCTGGGTAATATTCCATTGTATGAATATACCTCAATTTGTTTATCCATTCACTTGTTGATGAACATTGGTACAATTTCATAAGTTTTGATATACATATACACACGTGGAGCCATTGCTCCAACCAAGATACCCATCACCACCAAAAGTTTATCTCCAGTGTTTGGCTATTACAAATAAAACTACTATGAATATTCATGTAAGAGAACTTCTATGGATATAGCTTTCATATGTTTTCTCTTTAGTAAGTATCTAAGATTAGAATTATTACATCATTTGGTAGGTATACTTTAACTTTTTAAGACACTTCCAAACTGTTTTTTAAGAAACTGTTTTCTAACCTAGTATACATCACCACTCTTCTAAATTCTCGCCAACACATGGTTTGGTAAGCCTTTTTAATATTTTACATTCTAAAAAGTATATAGTGGTATTTTATCATGGTTTTAACTTGCATTTCCATGCAAGTTAAATGATGGCTAATGATGGATGGCTAATATCCATGGCTAATGATATTGAGCAACTTTTCATATGTTGTTAAGAGTTTTATGCATTTTCTTCCTTTCTTTTTCCTGTTCTTTATATGTATATATTAACCCTTTACTATATGGGGAAAAATGCCTCCCCAAATTTTTGCTCATTACTGAAATTTCATATTGATGGCTAATAATTTCTATTATAATTAATGTAATAACTATGGTATTTTCTAATGGAAAAGTAGGTCTAAGCTTGATATTATAATAATATTGATAGTGAACTCCAACCTTTAGATGACTCTAAATTTTGTCATTTTATGAATAAAAGGTGAAAAGTTCTGAAGCAACTGAGAATTTAGTAGCAGTTGCAGTATTGATGTTAGCCATTTTCTTATCTTTTGCAAGCTCTGAAAATCAGTGTGATCTGACTCTGCAATGAGTTTGGGAACTGCTTTGCCCAAAATCAGAGTGATTTTTGTAAAAGCTAAAACATTTATTTCAGCTCAACATGGTGGCCTCTGAGAATACATTTAGCAGAGAACATCAACTAATGCAATCTTACTATATTTTCAGAGACTCTGAATGTTCATCTTTAAATGGAATATTCTCTTTGTATTAGGGGACTTGCATAAGTTGCATTTATAGTCACCCTGGGCATAAATTCAGTGTGTAAAATCTGGCTCAATCTTCCCATTCCAGATGAGGAAACTGGGGCCCTGGGAAGTAGAGATTTGCCCAAGGGAATCTGGTGAGATAGTGGCAGTGAGCACAGTTTAGGTAAGGTGGGCAATGCTCTCTATCCTGTCTCTTCTCTGAGTGAGATCAACAGTGAGTAAATTATAAGACCATAGAAAGTGAGTGCTGAAAGGAGAATTAGAGACCACTCAGTCTACTCCTCTTATTGTAAAGTGAGAAAACTGAGGCCTGTGGCAGGGGAGCAGCATGTCCAAGGCCATGCATAGCAAGTTTATCACATAATTGAGACTGAAAGTTGGGTCTCCTGATGCTTAGTTTTCAGGATGGCTGAGCAGGTCTGCTGCCTCTCCAGTGAATGAAGGGCCAGAGTCCGGGACTTCGCACAAAACTTTGATGGGATTTGGAAGATTTCCTTGTGGAGGTGACAAGCACTCGAGTTGTCTTTATAGCCCCAGTAATAAGATGATGGCATCATCCATATTCCCTCTACCAATGACTCTTCCATGGCAACGTAGCTGAGACTGAGGCTAAAGGGCCAAAAAGGTAAGGATGCTCTCCTTAGCAGATGAAAAGTCATGCATGTGTCTCTCTCCGTGCATCATTCATTTGGCCGCCCATTTTCCCATCCCTTCATCCATCCACACACCATTCAACAAAACCTACTCTGGCCATTATCCTTGCCATTGAGGAGCTCCCTGACTCTTGGGACAGGCAGACGTGTAAACAATGAATTAAGATACAAAATGTAATAAAGAAATAACTAAAGGGACTTCCCTGCTGGTGCAGTGGTTAAGAATCCGCTTGCCAATGCAGGGGACATGAGTTCGAGCCTTGGTCCGGGAAGATCCCACATGCCATGGAGCAACTAAGCCCGTGCGCCACAACTATTGAGCCTGCGTTCTAGAGCCCACAAGCCACAACTACTGAGCCCGCGTGCCACAACTACTGAAGCTCACGAGACCAGAGCCCATGCTCCGCAGCAAGAGAAGCCACAACAATGAGAAGCCTGCGCATGGCAACCAAGAGTAGCCCCCGCTCACTGCAACTAGAGAAGGCCTGTGCACAATGAAGACCCAACACAGACAAAAATAAACTAATTAATTAAAAAGAAAAAAAAAAGAAAGAACTAAAGATTCATTGGAAAACCTAAGAGGTAGTACCTAATCCATCTAGGGTAGAAGAAAGAAGAGAGGGCGAGAAAAGTCTTCCCAGAGGTGTTAGCATGTGTTGACTCTAGAAAGATGAGCAGGAAGTATTCAGATGAAGAACAGAAAGGAGGAAATGCATTCCGGGATGAGGGAACAGCCTGAGCAAAGATACCTCTAAAATTGTATGAATAGTATCACCATTTATTTTAAAAGTATGTGTGTTTGGGCTTCCCTGGTGGCGCAGTGGTTGAGAGTCCGCCTGCTGATGCAGGGGACACGGGTTCGTGCCTCGGTCCGGGAAGATCCCACATGCCGCGGAGCGGCTAGGCCCGTGAGCCATGGCTGCTGAGCCTGTGCGTCCGGAGCCTGTGCTCCGCAACGGGAGAGGCCACAACAGTGAGAGGCCCACTTACCGCAAAAAAAAAAAAAAAAAAAGTATATGTGTTTACATGTATATGATATAAAAGGGGTTATACACTAAAATGTTAATAATAGCTATTTATGGTGGGATTATAGGTGACCTTATAGAATTTCAGTTTTAATTTTCATCTATTTTTTAAAAAAATAAATTTATTTATTTTATTTATTTATTTTTGGCTGCACTGGGTCTTCATTGCTGCTCGCGGGCTTTCTCTAGTTGCAGCAAGCGGGGGCTACTCTTCGTTGTGGTGCGCGGGCTTCTCATTGCGGTGGCTTCTCTTGTTGCAGAGCACGGGCTCTAGGCACGCGGGCTTCCGTAGTTGTGGCACGTGGGCTCAGTAGTTGTAGCTCGCAGGCTCTAGAGCGCAGGCTCAGCAGCTGTGGCGCACGGGCCCAGCTGCTCCGTGGCATGTGGAATCTTCCCAGACCAGGGCTCAAACCCACGTCCCCTGCATTGGCAGGCGGGCTCTCAACCACTGTGCCACCATGGAAGCCCTTCATCCATTTTTATTATTTTTTTTCCAGTAGTGAATGCGTGTCACTTGTGAAATAAAATAATAATAAAAGTTTAAAAAACTTTAAAACCTTTTTCAGAGGAGCTGTTCTTCCTTTGTTATTGAAAGTTCCATATGTGGAACATAGAAAAGTGGTACAGATGAACCTGTTTGCAAGGTAGAAACAGAGACACAGACGTAGAGAACAAACATATGGACACCAAGGGAGGAACGAGGAGGTGAGATGAATTGAGAGATTAGGATTGACATACATACACTAATATGTATAAAATAGATAACTAATGAGAACCTCCTGTATAACACAGGGAACTCTACTCAATGCTCTGTGGTGACCTAAATGGGAAGGAAATCCAAAAAAGAGTGGATATATATATACATATAACTGATTCACTTCACTGTACAGCAGAAAGTAATACACCACTGCAAAACAACTATGCCCCAATTTAAAAAAAAAAAATAAGGAAGTCCCAAAGATGGTCATGAAGTTGTTTGTCAGAAAAGGCTTTCTGCCAGGTTTGGAGATCTTTGTTTCACATAAAGCTTTCAGAAAAGATTTTATACTAGATTTCTATGTATACACAAAAATTTCCTACAAATTGAAGAGGCAGAAAAATTCCCAAGCAAGGGTGTTGAAACACAGCTATTCCTTTAGACATTTATTTAACAAATATATATCATGTATCCCTTTGAAGGCCCACAGATGAGTCAGGCAAGGAGACCCCTTCAAAGATAGGCCATATAGACAAAAATGAGCATAAGACAAGGTAGACAAGGCCAAGGACTGGGAGAGAGGTCAGCTGTGGGAGAGATGAGAGTCAGAGAAAGAATGATCATGGGCTTTCATAGATCACCACAACTATTCCCACCAGCATTATTTAAAATGATAGCAAGGGCTTCCCTGGTGGTGCAGTTGTTAAGAATCTGCCTGCCAATGCAGGGGACACAGGTTCGAGCCCTGGTCCTGTAAGATCCCACATGCCACAGAGCAACTAAGCCCGGGCCCCACAACTACTGAGCCTGTGCTCTAGAGCCCGTGAGCCACAACTACTGAGCCCGCCCGCCTGGAACCCATGCTCCACAACAAGAGAAGCCACTGCAATAAGCCCACACACCACAATGAAGAGTAGCTCCCACTTGCTGCAACTAGAGAAAGCCCACGTGCAGCAACGAAGACCCAACGCAGCCAAAAATAAATAAATAAAATGAATAAAATCTATCTTAAAAAAAAGAGAGTAAATAAATAAATAAAATGATAGCAAACACCTACAACATTCAAAGTGTGAATTGCAACCTATTAGTGGGTCATGAAATCGGTTTAAATTGTCAAGCTAGAACTTTTTATTTTTCATGTTATGTAAGTTATTTATTCATTTATTATTATGGTATAATTGACATATAACATTATATTAGTTTCAGGTATACAACACAATGTATTTGTATATGCTGTGAAATGATACATGTATAATGATATTTGTATATGGTGTGAAATGTGTTTGTATATGTTGTAGTATTTGTATATGTTGTGAAATGATCACCACGATAAGTCTAGTTAACATCCATCCCCATATGTAGTTATACATTTTTTTTCTTGTATTGAGGACTTCTAAGATTTACTCTCTCATCAACTTTCAAATATACAATACAGTGTTATTAACCACAGTCATCAGGCTGTATATTATACCTCACGACTTAATTTATTCTATAACTGGAAGTTTGTACCTTTTGACCCCCTTCACCTGTTTCACCACCTCCTACCCCACACATTTGGTATTTTTTTTTAATAAACTTTTTCTTTTGGAGTAACTTCAGATCTACAGATAAGTTGCAAAGATACTTCAGAAAGTTTCTACATATTTTCACCCAGCTTCCCCTAAAATGTTGACATCTTACATAACCATGGCACATTTACCAAAACTGAGAGATTAACATTGGTACAATATTATTAACTAAACTATAGATTTTACTTGGCTTGCACCTGTTTTTCACTAATGTTTTTTCTGTTCCGGAATCCAACCCTGGATTATATTTAAGAGACTAGTAAAAAGTGAAATTCGATAGAATACAATACAAAATATCAGGGTACATTGCTCAGATTAAGGATAAGTACTGTTTTATAAAACTTGTTTCCATTACATGTATAAATTGTAGTTTTACTGAAGGTGGCAGCTGAAAAAAGTAACAAAAGAGAGAGACACAGTCTTAGAAGACACCAAATAATTAAGCATGCTTACCATTATGGGGATTAATATTCTAGTGAGAAGCAAAACAAAACACTTGAATACAACAATGTGAACACTAGTGCAAAGTCAGAAAATGCAAAATAACACAGGACTATAGGACTAACAGTCAGAGGACAGAGCAAGGTAGAGATCCTTTTGTTCTCATACTGATGGCTGAATAACCTTGTCCTTTGGAACAGAGCATAACGGGCCCCGTACATGTTGTTGAGTTGGATGGAATTCTTGGATCAAGCAGCTGAATGGGCTGCATCACAGGAACACACTACACACAGTACTGGAGCCCAGTACCACTCTCCCCATGCCCTTCTCTTAGGCCTGGCTTTGTCCCTAATGAACTAATTAATGGTTATAAAAGCAGTTGGTAAAATGCAGTTGGTATATGCACTTTGAATGAGTCACTTTCTCTTCTGGGCCTCGGTTTCCTCATCTGTGAAATGGGGACATGACTCTTGCCATGGCTCCTTCACAGGGCTGTTGAGAGAATCAAGGGAGAAGAAAAGTGTTTTGTAAATTGTTAAGGGCTATACAGATCTATGTAAAAATTATGATTTCAGATATAAATTTTCATTGGTATTATTGTTCTTTGGGCAGTAAACATTTTGAGAACAAGGATTATATTACTTATCTTCATAACCCTAGGGCCTATTACCATGCCTAGGCCCTCATGGCAGACTCATCTCTATGGAGACATAAGGACCTGGGCACACCTTCCCCTCCACGGACTTGCAGATGTTCACTCAATTCCCAAATGCATATCACCCCCGACTTGTTCCTCTACCCAGCAGGGCAGAGTCAAGCTAGATTAACTCTTACTGACCCTGCAGATTTGGGTCTCAGCATGGATCTTTCTACCTACCTGGAGAATCAGGAGAACCATCTGGAGAACCACACCTTTCAGATTTTATTTTTATTTCTAGGAAGTAGCCTAAATGTCCATTGATAGCTGAATGGATAAAGAAGATGTGGTATATATACACAATGAAATATTACTCAACCATAAAAAAGAATGGAATCTTGCCATTTGCAACAACATGAATGGACCTAGAGGGTATTAAATTAAGCAAAATAAGTCAGACAGAGGAAGACAAATACTGTATAATTGCACTTATATGTGGAATCTCAAAACACAAAACAAACAAAAAAACAAAACAGGAACAGACTTACAGATACAGAGAGCAAACTGGTGGTTGTCAGAAGTGGGGAAGTGGGGCGAAATAAGT